TTTTTTTGAGACAGGGTCTCGCTATGCAGTTCAGGCTGGCATTGAGCTCACTTTGTAGCCCAGGCTAGTCTCAAACTCACAACGATCCTCTTGCCTCAGCCTCCTGAGTGCTGGGATTACAGGCGTGCGCCACCACGCCCGGCGGGTTACATATCTTGATAGGCCCAAACAGAGACAATGGCTTGTACAAGATGGGTGGCAGAAGGGTTGAAGAAAAGCAGATGAGCCAGGTGTGGTGGTGCACTCCTATAATCCCAGCACTCAGGAGGCTGAAGCAGGAGGATCGTTGAGAGTTCGAGACCAGCCTGGGCTACAAAGTGAGTTCAAGGCCAGCCTGAACTGCCTAGCAAGACCCTGCCCCCCCCCCATACCACCACCAAAAAAAAGAAAAGCGGATGAGTTAGAGATGCATTTGGGGGCTAAAAGAGATGGTTGCTTGGACTGAAGTTGACAGAGATAGTTATTATTACTGGATTTTGGGGTGTTGGAGTCTCCTTTTAGAGGTGATTTCTAGGTCCATTCTGTCCTGGACAAAGAATTGAACATAACAAGCATAATCAGTGGCAAAGTTTGACATTTATTAAAGGTAGGAAAAACAGAGGGTAGAGGGGAAATGGGCCCTTCTGAGCAAGTTTGGGGCTGGGAAAAAAAGGGAGGAAAAAAGTATAAATACAGGCCGGGCGTGGTGGTGCAAGCCTGTAATCTCAGCACTCAGGAGGCTGAGGCAGGAGGGTTGTGGTGAGTTTGAGACCAGCCTAGGCAACAAAGTGAGCTCAAGTCCAGCCTGAACTGCGTAGCGAGGTCCTGTCTCAAAGAAAGCAAAAAAAAAAAGTATACATACACCCTAGAGCAAAGGGTGGGTGTTATGGCTTGTGTCTAGGTGGCCCCCAAAAGCCTCGTGCTGTCATAGGTGGGGCTTCTGGATCTAGAGTGTGTGATTGATTCATGGAGCAATGCTGGAATTAAGGGTGTGTGATTACTAAATCAGTCCACTGATTGGACTG